TGCCCCAATTGCAGATGAACGCTGACTTGGCTACTGGATTGGAATGACTCGACTACCTTTGGTTTCCGGTAGACTCAGAAAAAAATTTCCTCTCGAGCTTGTTATATCTGCTACCAAGTCATCAAGGAGAAGAAAGTTGCCTTTCTTGTAATTGCCGGTGAAGTATGTATGTAATCCATCGATTTGAGTTCTCCTTTAACATACTTGAGCACTCTTGAGGGTTTCAGGACTGGCATTTCTAGCTCCTGGGGTACTGATAGACAAGACCTTCTGCTACACTCCTTGCCCTTGCATGCCCGAAAAGCTTGCTCACAATAGCCAGTGCAAACTGTATCGCTGTAGCAAGTCCCTGGCTTGTGATGAGTTTACCATCGATAACTACCTGAGCATCATTTACCCCGTCTTTGAGCTTGTCTAAGACAGCAGGATGTGCAGTGGCTTTCTTGTCCTGTTAAAGGAAGTGCGTAAATTTAACTTCTTCTCTCAAAATTAAGGCATTCAAATAGCTAACATCATACCTTTATTAACCCCTGTTTCTGCAAGACTGCAGGTGATGAGCAGATTGCACCAAATATTCTTCCAGCTGACTCTTGTTCCTTAAGCAACTTCTTCAGAATTTTCGACTTGTGCAGCCGTTCAGCCGCGGCAGTTCCTCCCTAGCGAATAAGAACCAATTAATTATCAGAGCAAGTGACGAACCTACAAAAGTCATCTCACTTATGAGTTGGTAATAGGTACATTTGCCTAAAATTTTTGGAGAACTCGTGGAAATGCTGGTTAAATAAAAGGACTTAGCCTCACCGGGAGGATAATCAAGTCAAATATGGAGTCAGAAGTAGCATTTATCAACTTGTCTGCAACAATTTTTGTACCACTTGATGCCAAAACCTGTGCTGATTTTTCCACTGAAGCCACCACAACATTCACCTTTGCTCGTCTTAGAATGTCTATCAAGGTAACCACTTCAATTTCTTCAGACCCGTTGGCTATTGGAATTAGAACCTACAAAATTGTGAAGATGGAGCACATTGACATGTCGTGCGAAATAAATTATTCACAGGAAAACATCATTAATCCTAGGACACAAGTACAATCTCCAATCAAGTCAGACAAGCAACAGTGTGTAATTGTTCCTAAAAATAAATATCAAGAACAAATTTCATGTATGCCCCCTAGCGTACATAACATTCGCAACAAACCTTGCACAAAGTCAAAAACAAGTCTCACATTAACCAGAGTCACTTGCTAGACATATTCACCTACAAGGTAATAACTGAAGCAGTACCAGCATCAGAGCTGCAAGGCAACACTAATAACTAATAACCCAAGGTGGGAAGAAAAGAATAAAGAAACCATTTCCTGAATTCCTAACAATGGAAGATGACCACTGACACTGAGATGTTTATAGCAGAGCATTAAAAACATGAATTTGCATGCATAACGATGAATGGATAAGCACCAAATAAGAAAAATGCACATTCATTAAGACCCTTAAACAGTTCCTTCGACATTATGCACAAGATAAAGAACTCATAGGGGTGAGCACATTGTTACTGAAATTAATTCTGTAATTACAGTTTAAGTTCCAGCTATATAAAACAAAAAACAAGGAAGGCTTACTTGGGGGGTGCGATCAAGAGACCATCCAACTTCATTGAATTCTTGTCTCTTTGGGTCATCACCTGCAGGATTCATCAACTACACAAATGTACAGAAGTTTTATGAGAACAATCTAAGTATAACAAACAACCCAATCAGATAAACGATGTAAGTCAGATACAAACAAATCAAAGGCCAAATAACAATGAAGTGTTCACAAAAGATTTTTCACAAATGCCAGTTGTGCACAACCCCTCTGAAATTAAGTTGAATCCTGTTCAATTGAACTTGTAAACTGAGTCAAGAAACAACTTTCTCTTAACACCCTTTTCAAATTTGATCCTAGCAAGTCAATGCTGGAAGCAATGGGGAAACCACCAATGAGTTGCATTTCTTTGTTAAACATGTCCTCACAACCTAACTAGCAATAGTTCATGATCGAATTGGTTCCAGTACCTCAGCCCATTACGAACTAGATAGAATGATGACACAACTAAATAGCGACCCATGAGTGATCTAGTTACCAGTCAGCTCAGTTTTGATATTTTTCTTAAAAAATTATATGTGAAGAAGGAGGTCTAGAACTAGAAGTTAAGTAAAGAATTTAAGAATATCAATAATTTATTCACTCACCAAGAGTTCTCCAATTTCTCTGGCAACAGGCTCGCCAAACAGCTGCTCCACTAAACATATGGCAAACTCAAATGAAGTGCCAGGACCACGACTTGTTGTTAGCTCTCCAGAGACTTGTGTGTTAGTTTTCACCGCCCGGAAGGAAGAAATTTTGTCTATAAATGCAGGATGACAAGTGGTCTTGATAGTCACTGCATCAATTAACCAAACCAGGAAAGAAGAAACAGTGCAGAAAGCAAACTCTATAAACTAAATGCAATAGTCACCTGTTTCCTCTTAAGAAGACCCCAAGGCAAAAGAGCGACTGCTGGAGCAGCACATATGGCACCATAAAGTCGCTTCTCCTCAGCTTGCCTGCTTGTGATCTTCTGGAGAACTTCACAGTCTCTTAAACGAGCAGAACCTGGCATTCCTCCCTATATCAAGTCTATACATCAGTTATTAAATTTCCACCTATGACATTGAAACAGATAGAACTGTGATGAAATAACTGTAAGCTAATTTATCAGAGATACAAAATACAAAGTCTATGTAGAGATAGAAAAATCCCTACAAGGACGAAAATGCATCCATAGAACAGCGTGAAGCCTATCAATCACTGAATCAGTTGAATCATTGTATCCCTGTGCTGGCACTTCTTTAACAGTTGAATCAGTTCCAAGCTCATCCATCAATTGTAACAATGCAGCCTCAACTAATTTGAGTTTCATTTCACTGGATGGGAAGGACCATTACTACCATGAAATCTAGACTCTTTAAACACACTACTTAAGTACAACCCAATTGCATGTTTTTACAGAGCATTTTAACCAACTCTGTAGCTTAACATGGCATCTCTGAGTTGCATTGTGTTTTGGTAATTCTTGAAGTTGCCAAGTAAACGATATATTGAAGCGGAGAAAGGATATGAGTAGTAATTAAGTAGTGGAGCCAGTATAAACTTTCAGAAAAATGCATTTCACGTGAATCTTCACAGCTTGTAACAGATACATATATGACGGATATTTCATTTGACAGATCAGATGATATCAACAATACTAAGGAAAGCTAATACTAACCGGCAATGCAACAAGATCAAATATTTCGGTGGAACAAGCAGAGATGAAAGTATCAGCAACTAGCCTAGTGCCTCCATATGCTTCAACCTCCAACTGCTTCTCTACTGATGCCACTGTTACCTCTGCACCAGCCCGGCGCAGAACATCAGCCAATATTACAGCTTCCATTTCTTCTGTGCCAAACCCAATTGGCACTAGAACCTATAAACACCTCAAAAGTGAAAAGAAAAGGCAAAACTCACTGAACCTCTATAGTCTATACTAATATCCATTGAAATTAAATAAATGATAATCAAGCAATCAGCTTACATGTATTTATACTGCACTAATTTTTTTTCAAGTTCCTAATGCAAATCTTCAATTTTACATATGAAGCAAATGAATAAACAAACAAAAAAGACGGAACATAGAGAATGAGACGCTTCACCTTTTTGGGAGGTGCGGAAGCGGCAGTAGTAGTTATGGGGTCTATTCTAGGAGCTGCAGAGAGGGTTTTAGCTGATTTTGAACAGGGTTTTTTCTTATCTGGTGAATTTATCTTCAGAGGGGCTGCAAATTTGACAGACGAAAGTCTTAGAGAAATAGGACTGAAGTAGAAAATTGGAGACTTGGCAGTGGAGACTGAGAACAATGGAGATATGGACTTCATTGTTACTGGTAACAATTACGATTCTAGTTACCGGAGATAATGCACTAGTCGCCGGCCGGCATGTGTATGACGTCGGAAATACAAGAATCTGGGTGAGATTAATCGGATAATGTCACGAATTACAAAAAAAAAAAAATAAAATGCTTAAATATCCGCGCCTCTTGAAAATTGATTTTACATTATCTTTTTATTTTATTAATGATTTTTATTTATTTTTACATGTTTTTGGGTTCGGGTTCTTCTTGAGTTGTATAATGATGGGATTATTAGGTCACTTTGTCTTTGTGGTGGTGATTTATTTAGTAACTTCTAAAATATTTCCGTACCTACATTGTTATTAGAACTAGTGTCACAATATATTGTGGGAGAAAAAAATGCTTGCCGAGTCCAAAATCCACCAATGTGATTTATGAGCTAATACAATTTAATTATTAATAATGCACGATTAAAATGTATATAGCTTAAAGAGAAGTGTTGATTATACTATAAACAACTTACCACTCCACATTATTGTGGATTGCCTCGCTTGCTTCTTTTAGTCAGATGAAAGGTGCATCATCACCTTACTTAACAAAGAGGTTATACAAAAGAGCACCGCTTCCCCGTGAAAGATGATCCACTGTCCTAAAACTTTTACTTTATTGGTCTAGCTCTTGACTCATGTGACACCACTAAGAATTAGTTTTATGCTCAACAAGGACTAGCATAGTAAAAATGGTGAAATATACATCCAAGAGGAACATCATCCTTGTGCAGAAAATGACAAGAACTCCCCCAAGATAATGGCAATAATACTGTACTATCTCATTTGACGTGAAAGAACTTCGCACCGTTGCACCAACAGACCTCAAACAGCCCTTTGATGTTAGATCAATTATTGCTCGCGTTCTCGATGGAAGTGAATTTGATGAATTCAAGAAACTGTATGGCACTGTGAGGCCCTTTTATTCCTTAACAGATCACAGCTGTCTCTCATTTATTTTTCAGTTATTCATTCATTTGGTTTCTGAGCGCACTCATTGATAAATACAGACACTTGTGACTGGATTTGGAAGAATCTGTGGACAGCCAGTAGGGATCCTTGGAAACAATGGGATACTGTTTATGGAATCTGCTCAGAAAGGAGCACACTTTATTGAATTGTGTACTCAACGTAACATTCCTCTGATCTTCCTTCAGAATATTACTGGATTTATGGTAAGCATTTTTTTTCTCCTCATGTGATATAATTGTTTGATACAAACTTGCTTTAATCAATTGCTATTGCCTATAACAAGGGGGGGAAAGCAAGTAAACTCAATCCAACCAACTCTAGTTCCTTATGACAAGTGGTTGTACAGTCATGTGAAATAACTACTTATTGATATTCCATAGATGGATATTTTGATGGTACATAATGAAACACTTCATGATGAATCTTGCAAGGCTTTAGCAAAATTTGAACAAGGATTCATCAAAATTATCTGTTTCTCTTACATGACCTGTCATGTTTATATTCCAACTATACAGAAATTTCCACCAGATAAAATAAAGAAATTCAGAATTCTCACAGCATCAGCAACTGAAAAAAAGACTTGAATGGAAACTTGACTTGTCAGTATGAGAAGATAAGAAGTTAGCTGAAGTGACGATTAAAGAAAATTATTTTTCCCAGATATTAATTAGCCTCTCAACTGTTGGCAGAAAACCAAACAGTACCACTAGTCCCCTGTGCTTTTAGCATATGACAGAAAGCAGATTTCTGTGTTTATTTTATCTATTTTCTCCCTAGGTTGTCTAAAATCCATTGTTGGCATAGTACAACTTATACTATTCTAGACTTAGTGTCTTGACTTCTTATAGTGCTGACAAAATCGGCCTGATAGAAACATCCATAAGTAGGAAAATAAGAGAATGCGACGAGCTGGAAAGAACTTTTATTATCATTTAACATAACAAAGAAACAGCTAGAATAGTAGATAAAGGAATCCTCAAGACTACCACTAGATGGAAATGAAGACCTAAGCACAAGTCAATTGAAAGGCCACCCACAAAGATGTCAAAAACATCAAAGCATGAAATCAACGAAGGGCTAAGTCATTGCTATTCAGAATTACCAGAAAATGCATGATAGCTTTAGGTATTAGGTCTTCATTTTTCTTCCTGACAATGTCACAGTATGACCTCAATACCAGTTTTGTGATGGCAATTACAACAGTCCACTGATCTGAATGAGGCCTCAAGATACTTGGGGGCTTCAAGCAAAACATATAGAGATATCATGTTTGATTTTATCACCAACGTAATCCATAAAGAAATCAACGTAATTCAGGATCACTGAATTGTTTGCTAATGAAATCGTCTTCTATAAATGGACGATTGTCCGACTCACCAAATATTGATGATATTCTCCAACTTGAACCGACATTTGATCCTAATGAAGATATATGTCAGCAATGGCTTTGGCAATAAGATACAGCAAAAAATATTTTCTAAAGATAATAAGGAGTCCAGAAAAATGAAATGAATTGATAAGCAGCAACAGAAAAGTTCACGGTGCTTGTCGAATTAAAGAGTACCATAAGTTACATGAGGAAGGACCTTTTCATAAAGCAGTATTTGCATTCCTTAGATACAATATTCATTCCTTGTCAATAAGATATTTTACTAGTCAAAATAACTAATAACTCGTGTATTTTCATGTAACAAACATGTGGCATAACTAAAAAACATCATGTATCACCAGATGGATAAACACCTGACACTATAGTTTTCTTGACCACTGGAGCAAGCCGAACAACCTGTTCCCAGTCAAGAACACTAGTAAATGCAAATAATTTAAGTTTCTTACTACTAGATATTTGAAAGCTGTGTGATGTCAATCAGGGAGACGATGAAGAAACCAAACATTGAGATGATGAAGCAGAAAGGCCAACCTGATAAGGGATAAAACCACCAACTGATCTGGCAAGGATAGCATGTGATATTAGACTGCTTTCTGAGGTTGCACTTTTCTAGATCTACTCCATTCTGTAGCAATGTATAAGCAAAAAATTAACATCAGTATGATATAATTTGCAAGACTATTTGCACAAGTCTGTGAAACAGCAAATGTAGCATTTAATTTCTGCCTCAGATTTGGTGCAGCAATCCTAGACGGTTTGACCTGCTGTAATGCCATCTCATGAGCTTTATTCCCACATGATGTGTATTTATGCAAATCATCTGCAACAGAAAAAATAATTAAGTTGATCAATATAAAATATTAACAGCAAAAGATTCATAAGAAATTTAGTGATTTGCTATAGCAATTCACAACTTATCTTGGCAAGAAAGGAATCAAGTTCTAGCTAAATATTTCAAAAATATCGATCAACTCAATAAACTTGATCAAAGATGCAAATGTGTGTTGTATTTAGGTATAAGCAAAAACCAAATAAAACACCCAATATTTTGACATACATCCATCTCAATAATGTGTCCAATCATTACTTCTGAAGGTTCCAGTATATCACGCAAAAAAATTCCTAACCTCATGCTTGCACTTTCTCAAGATTGGAAACCATTGCAACTCACATTGACCATACATTGAAGGCTCATCTACAAAGGAATCATTCAAGTTAGAACATCAATTATAAGAATGCATTACCGGAATAAAAAGGTACTCAACAATGGCCTACTTTAACCAGCCCAAATTATATTAATTTATTCAGCTTTTCTTTTTTCTTGGACGAGGGTTTTTGTATAGGGAAAACTACCGGTTCAATATAAAACAGAGTTTAACCACCAACTTTGTCAGTTGAGTTGCCCTGGAAGTAGAAGCCTAGTAACAAAATAGAGCTTCGTTAAAGCCAATAATTAACCTCAACTAGATTTTCCAAAGAAGAGGTGCTCCCGAGCTGCTTTAGTGATCGTGAACATGACCTTGAAGGACATATGTCCCATCCAGGTAGCTTCAGAGCTTCCTGAAGTACAGAAGAGGGCGCAGTTGTTTAGTAAGATAATCAACGTCCAGCAAGATAAACAAGGAAAGATCATCTATATAATAGCGTTACTTCTTATTTCAGGCAATTAAACTCTCACATTCAACTGAAAATGCAACTGATGTGTCTGATCTAGCTTGTACTAAAATGCTCAGCTTCACAAGCTTGACACTGACCACCAACATTAGGTACATCATACTCCAGAAGCAATACTCACCAGCTTATACAAGAAACGTCATGATCAATGACCATTTTACATTATGACCAAGACTTCAAATATCGTCATCTTCATCATGCATGAAGCAAATGAAAAATGTTGTATGCACATGGTTAGTGTTCCAAGCCTTTAACATGTGACAATCTGATTAAAGTATCCATGTCCTTAACCATCCCACAAATATGTATCAACAACCTACTCAGTGTAATACCACAGATAGGATTTGGGAGGGTATGCATACCTTACCCTTACCTTTGTGGGTACAAAGGTTGTTTCCAATAGACCCTCCGCTCAAAAGAAATGTTTACGAAGCAAAGATTGAAAGAAAAATACGACAAATATCTATTGAGAAAAAGGATGTATAATGAGTTAATAATGACTAAGGCAAAGCTAATATATGATATAATTATTCAAAGAACTACATTCAATAGATTTAGCAACTCCCAAAGTTATTACTGCTTGTTGAATAACCAGGTAAACCCAATTTGCAAGTTGTGACCCATGATAGTACCAACGTCCCAGATGCATTTTCAATACAACAACATACCCGGTTTCATTCTATGATTAAAATGAGAAAAGGCTAAGAAAGCTCCCAAATTCGTTACGAAAAATATTGAGCATGATACATGACAACTTTATCAGTAAACCATCCGCCACAGACCAATAAAAATGTTCTGAGCATTTAGAATGACCAAGTCAGAAGACTAAAAATCCAATAAGCTTAATTTACTGACTAAAAAAATCTTTCCCTTAGAACTGCCCCATATAAATTTTGCAAATTCATCAACCTAAGTTACCACAATATAAAAATAAAGAAAGAAGCCCAGGAAGAGTTTATTACCTTGAACAAATTTAACTTTCTGCAATAAGTATCTGATGCTCCATCAGCACGAGTAGATACGATAACTAGCATTATATAATGCTCGAGACTATCAGCAGTACATCTGTGAAGAAACTGCCTCTCGCTCAGTGAATGTTCCTATAGAAAATTCCAATATGTAAGTGAATTTTGAGATGCATGCATAACATTCAAGCTGGTATGGGAAACCAACTGTTATTATTTAGCTAGTGCAATGTTGGTTAAAAAACACCAATGGCAATGCACAATAACTTGCGTGTTTTGAGACCATCTAGAATGCAGATTGTGAATTTCTTTTTAATTCTTCTGTTATATTTAACCATAATTTCAGAAGGTTCAACATTTATATATATACATACAAAATTTTAAAAATACCTTAGATATACCGTGTAATTTAATAATCAATTCTCATCTCCGAATATGGAAGATGCAATAGTAGAAGCATTTTAGAGAACTATTTAATGACACACCCTTGATGTAATATTTATTTAATGTGGAGTCCACAAAAACTAACCGTAAATAATGGATATTGGGCTTCTTAAGTCCCACATTGTGGGATGAGGGAATTATGGAGTCCTTATATGGATTTCAGTCATCCTCCCCTTATAAGCTAAATTTTAAGGTTAAGTTAGGCCCAAAATTCATTTCTTTACATGGTATTAGAATCAAACTCATTCCGATGCATGATATACGGATATTGGGCCCCCATATTACATAGTCCACATACTAATTGTTCGGTCTTGGGTGTGAGGCAGGGTGTTAATCCCACGTCAATGCGAAGAGGGAACTATGGACTCCTCATACAGACTTGAGTAATTCTACCCTCATAAGCTAGCTAGTGGGTTGAGTTAGGCCCTAATTCATTTCTTTACACTAACAAAATTGTAGGCAAGCACACAATGATAAACATCGACATATTAAATGCACCCATAAAGTAGAATAGATGTATCTAATTCATTGAAATCACATCCAATATAACAGAAGAAATATAAATCTCCAAAATGAATGCAGAATAATTCGCAAACTAGATGGTCTCAAAACATACAAGGTGTTGTTGTTGCCATTAGGGACATTAAGTAAAGTTGGAATAACTCAAATTGTTTTAACGAACATTGCACTAGCTAGATAAAAGAGTTACCAGCTTGAACCTTATGTATGCTTCTCAAAACTCACTTCCAGCAACTGCCATTGGAGATAGAGACATAGAGTCTACTGTAGTAGCAGGTGGTGATACAAGCAGCATAGCTTCATGAACAATCTCATTAGGAGGAATGTGTTCGTTCCTTGCATAAATTAGAATATTATGGGCAGAGAGATTTTCAAAGCCTGGCTCATGTAGATTAGTATGAACTCGCCTCTGGAGTCTTTCAACAAGTGACAAAATGTGCTTCCTACGCTCTGATCTCTTTCTTCTTGGGACACTCTCAGGATTCCAAAGAGGATCTTTATATGCTTCTCCTAACAAAAGGTGAATGTTAGGGAAAATAAAACAATAAGGTAGTAATACAATATAACTTTTTACTTTGTGGTAAAGCTTTTATTATTTGTATGGTTAAAGTATAGATGAACTGATCAGTTCATACCTTCATTGAAAATCCAAATTACCTGTAATTTGTCGATGCCAATTCAATGTGTAAAGAAAAGTAAGTTTTTGATAGGGGAGACACTATAATCAATGATTTATTAGCAAGAAAGAAACCCATTATTTTGTCTATAAGAGTATTATATAGTGATTGATTCCCTATTTTATCTATAGAATATTTTGGCATAAAATTATATCTCCCACCAATGCTACAATCTTTTTTGGCAAAATAGATTGTAGATTAAGCATTCTACGTGTCAAAAAAAACTAAGAATATGAACGTACGACCCTTTTAAGAGTTCCACATAGGATATGGGATGGGTAATTGGTCTCCTTATATGGACTTGGACAATCCTCACCTTACAAGTTGAGCTTTGGAGTTGAGTTAGGCCCAAAATTTATTCTTCAACAAACCCAAAAGTAGCCTTTTTCAGTTGAATGACCCTACAGAGCCTAAGATGTCTATCCAGTCCCATGAATCACTCCTGTTGTTTCCTTTTTTAGCTATTATCATTTACACCGCTCTGCCACTGAGTAAAAGAATGATGGATAAATTTACTCTTAACATGCTCATGTCTTCCCATGTCCTATTTTCCTTTCCTAAGTAGTAATAAATTTTACTCTCTTCATTCCTTTCTACGGTTTTTGCATTTCTTGGCCTTCTAAGAAGTTTTATGGTAGTGAATACATTTTTTCGGTTTCTATAATGCATGTTGCTTTTATTAACCTACTTCGTATTACTTAAAAGTCAATCAAGTAATATAAGGTTTTTGAAGAGTTATATTCGGTAAAGTGGCAGATCAAGGATTTTCATTAAGAGGTTCGAAAAATAAAAAAATGGTGCTTGAGATTTTAACTTGAAACCTCAAGGTGAATTTTGAACCCCCTCAACCACTTAGTCCACCTCTAATCTCATGTTCAAGAGGTTCAAAATTTGAAAATAACCTTATATAAGGTGTAATTTTTTGTTGACAGGGTTCGGATGAACCCCCTCGCTACCCTCTAGACTTAGCTGGGGGCATTCATGAAACTCAATACTAAATTATTCTGACTCTTAATTGCTCCTAGATTATGTATTAATGGCTCTCTAGCTTCTATTTTGGGTACATATTATCGACTTATCGTTAAACTTGAAAGGAGATCGAAAAGACTTTTGGTCGACTTAGTTTTCAAACTTTTTGTAGCTGAACATGCCTTATCTAAAGCTGATATACCTACTTCTTAAATAATCAAACTCCCTATCTCTGAATATGGAAAGATGCAATCACAGAAGCATTTTAGAGAACAATTTAACAACATACCCTTGATGTAGTATCCATGTAATGTGGAGTCCATGCAAACAAACGGTAAATAATGAATATTGGGCTTTTTAAGTCCAACATCAAGAGATGAGGAAATTATGGACTCCTTATATAGACTTGGGCAATCCTCCTCTCATAAGCTAACTTTTGAGG